CGCGCCTTCGCCGCCTCCATCCCGGTTCTCCTTCTCCCCGCAGGTGGTGCCGCCGGGCGGCCGGAGCCCGGACTCGTCCCTCCGCGGCGTCCATCTGCCGCCGCTGCCCGGCCCGGAGAGCGCGCGGGCCTCCGGGAGCCGCCGCGCACAGGTAGGGAGCCCGAGGGAGGCGGGGCCGGACGTCTTCCCGCGCCGCGTGGGGGCCGCCCTGTGCCGGTGCGGCTGTGGGGAGCGGGGCGGCAGCCGCCCGCGGGCTGAGCGCTGCCCTCGCTGCTGCGTGCGGCGCGAGCGGCGAGGACCGCGCTCACTCGGCCTTCCTCCTCGGCTTCTCTTGCAGGCGGGCGGGCGGCAGTTCCTGGAGTCGGCGACCGGCGGCGGTGCCAGTGGCCAAAGCAGACAGCCTCAGCCACTCTTGCTGCCTCGCTTAAGGCGGGCGGGGCTGCCGGCAGCAGCACCCAGGCGTGCAGCAGCAGCTTCTGGGGTCTGCAAGCTGCCTGCTCTGCCAGCGGCAGCCTCTTCCACACCATCTCCAAGAGGCACAGCACGTGCTGTGGGCATTAGAGGTGGCAGACTCCCAGTACTTGCCCCGAGACCTCCGGGAACCTTGCATGTCCAGGACAGGACAGCAGGGGCTGAGGGCGGGGTTCCAGCTCTGGAAGTCTCAACTATTCTCACGCCTTGGTATGCCATACCCAGGCAAAACTACAGGATGTCCCTGGGCTGTGCTGCAGCTGCAAGCCCAGGAGTTGGAGTGCAGCTGGCAGTACCAGGGCGGCAAGCACCTACCAGCAGCCTGAGAACACCAGCAGGAACGGCCCAGGGACTGACCACCAAGGCTGGGAAGATCCACACAGCTTGGAGAGATGCTCAGGAGGGCAGCAGAGACACTCGTGCTGCCACTACACCATCTTCCAGAGCAGCTCAGAAGGGCCTAGAAGAGCAGGCAGGCAGCAAAAGGCGAGGCAAGAAGTATCTGCCTGCATTAGTGCCTGAAGATGCAGACAACTTAGATTCTCTCAAGGTTGCACACTCTCCAGAGAAGGCTGATGATGCACCATTCTTCCGAAGAGTGTGTGAAGGGGGAGAAAGAAACATAACTGCCACCTCCATGCCTGAAGTCTCCAGACAAGCTCTGGGAGCAGCACTGAGACTGCAAGATCCCAGAGGGGTCAACCAGGAGGCCTATGGATGTTCTCTAGTACATCGAGCAATCCGGAGAATTCGGGATGAGGCAAGGAGGGAGCAGATGTTGTCCACCTGGAACATCTCCTGGCCAAACGTGAGCATGCTCAGGCTGCTAAAACTTGAAGCAGCACATGCCAGTGCCAGTGCTACTGACAGTGCTCAGGGTATGCTGGACACCCGCGCCACAACATCGATGGTAGAGAGCCCCATTCCTGTACCAGGAGAGTTCATATCCTGGGATGCTGGAGTGCAGGATGAACCGCATGATTCAGAAGAGATTGCTGAGACAGAAACTGCGGGACAGTCATCTGGTGACCTGCAGAGTGCATGTCTTGCTCCATCTGATGAGGCAGAAACAGTGCGTTCAGCTTCTCTTCCGGATGCAGGTCCTGGGCTTAGAGGACACCTTGAGCCATTGCCCACATCTGTGCTTGAAGATGTAGAAAACTCAGATTCTTTTGAGACTGCGCACTATCCAGAGGTGGCCAGTGCAGCACCACTCCTCATGTCAGCATGTGAGGAAAGAGAAGAAACAGTGATGGCTGTGCTGGAACTGTCCAAACAAGCTCTGGGGGAAACATCAAAACTGCAAGATGCCAGAGAGATCTATGAGGTGACCTATGGATATTCTCCAATTTTCCCAGCAATTTTCCCAGAAACTGCAGGACAGTCATCTGGTAACCTGCAGAGTGCATGTGTTGCCCAGTCTGATGAGGCAGAAACAGCACATTCAGCTTCTCTTCTGGATGCAGGTGCTGAGCCTGCAGGACAGCTTGAGCCATTGCCTGCATCAGATCCTCAAGATGTGGAAAACTCAGACTGTTTCACAGCAGCACACTCTCTGGAGGTGGCCAATGAAGCACCCTTCTTCCTGCCACTGAGTGAGGGAGAAGAAAGAGAAGAACCAGCTATGGCCATGTCTGAGTCCTCCAGACAAGGTCTGGGAGAAACATGGAGATTGCAAGATCCTAGAGAGATCTACTGGAAGTCTTATGGATGTCCTCCAGTTCACCCAGCAATCCTCAGAATCCGTGATGAGGCAAGGAGGGAGAAGATGTTGTCCAGTAGGAACATGTCTGAGCCATACAGTCTGAGCAGCCCCAGGCTTCTCGTGCTCCAAGCAGCAGATGACGGGGCCAGTGCTGCTGACACTGTTTGTGGCATGCTGAACATCTGCACCACAACATCGAGGGCAGATGGCCACTTTCCTGCCTCTTGTGATTCCCATAGTCGGCATATTAGAATTAAGTATGCACCGGGAGAGTCCACTGACAATGCTGCCAGTGATGCCAGCACCAATCACAGCATGCTGGATGCCAGGGACACTGGAGTGAGGACTGACAGCATGGCCACACCCTCCTTTTTTTCCTTTGATTCTGTGGAGGGTGTGGAAGAGGAATGGGAAGACAACCGTGAGGAAGAAGCTGCTGAAGCAGCTAGTGTGCCACCAAGCATTTCTCATTCCTCATCTGGTGAGATGAAGACAGCAGCGGCTCACCGCTGGATGCCAGCTGTCATCAGGAGTGTGTTCCGGGTTCTGCGCAGGGCTTCCATTTGCAGCTGCATCAGTGGACAGCAAGAGGAGACGTACGAGGCTGCAAACACCAGGCAGCTCCCCAGAGATGTCTGATTCCATCCTGTCAATGTAGAATTCTGCAGGACACCTTGAGCCTTTGCCTGCATCAGTTCCTCAAGATGCAGAAAACTCAGGAGACAGTGCACTCTCCGGAGGTGGCCAGTGAAGCACCCTTCTTCCTGTCATTGTGTGAGGGAGGAGAAAGAGAAGAATCAGCTATGGCCATGCCTGAGTCCTCCGGACAAGGTCTGGGAGAAACATGGAGATTGCAAGATCCCAGAGAGATCAACAGGGAGGCCTATGGGTACTCTCCTATGATCTCAGGAATCCGTAGAATTCGTGACAAGGATAGAAATGAGCAGATGTTTTAACACTGGAAATATTTCCTGGCCAAGGAATGTGAGAAGCCCCAAGCAACGAAGGCTCTAGGCAAGAAGTGATGCAATCAATAATGTTGGCATTGTTCAGGGCATGCCAGGCATCTGGCCCACAACATCATGGGCTGAGGACCGGTTTCCTGCCTCTGATGACTCCTGAATGTGGGCTGTTCAACTGCCAGTTGTGCAGGAAGACACCACTGATGACAGCAGCGGTGCTGCCAGCACAGTTCAGGACATGCTGGGTGCCAATGATACTGCAGTGACAGATGAGGGCATGCACCCACCCTCCTGTCTTTGCCCTTTAATGCTGGAGGATGTGAAAGAAGAATGGAATTGTGACTCTGAGGAAGATGCTGCTGCAGAGGCAGTTAGCATCACTCCCAGCACATCTGATGCTTTTTGTGATGAGATGGAGGCCATGCTTTCAGCTTACCCTGTGGCCGCAGATCCCAGGCCTGAGGGGCACGTATTAGCATGTAAGGGAGCAGAAGATGTGGGCCCTCTGCATGAGATAAGCAAGGTGTGTGTGGTCAGCATCAGGCATGAAATTGAGACAGAGGCAGGAGCAGTGCCTGGAGTGTGCGCTGTGGGGAGATGCCTGGTGCTGTCTCCTTTCCAGCCAGCTCCATGCATTAGGGTGGACAGCCCCTCTGTTACCTCTGCCTTGCTTTCAAGCAAAGGGGCCTGGAAAGGGGATCCCTTCCCTGGGCCCTGGCATCCACACCATCACCAGCCAGTGGCATACAGGTGTGTGGTTTTGTTCTCTCTATACAGGTTTCTGCAGAGGCCAGAGGAGATGCACAAAATTGTGCTTCAGAGATGCACTGGATGATGGCCCAGGTATGTCTCCAGGCAGAAAGCCGTCCCAGGGAGGGACCTGCTGAGCTCAGATGGCCCACCAAGTGGCACGGAAGCCAGCAGCAGTTTGTGTCCTGCCATATCCAGGCCAGTCCTTCCAGGGAAATTCCATGGTGGTGAGTGGCAGGCAGGGCCTTGCCTCTGCCCCTTGCCTACAGCTCTCTGTCCCCCACAGGTACCACTGCCTCACCACACGCAGAAGCCTGCCACCGGATGCCAGCTGTCATCAGGAGTGTGCTCCGGGCTCTGCGCAGGGTTTGCACCTGCAGCTGCATCAGGGGACAGCGAGAGGAGAGGCATGAGGCTGCAAACACCAGGCAGCTCCCCAGAGAATCATAGAATCACTCACGTTGGAAAAGACCTTAAAGATCATCAAATCCGACCATGACCATACTACCCTAACTGATTCCATCCTGTCAATGTAGAATTCTGATTAAATGTTATCTTTATTCTATCCTGGCTGAGTGCTGTCTCATCTGTGCACTCATGTGTGTTTGGTCTCTGAGTGCAGCTACTGAAGTCAGAGCACAGGGCAATGGATCCCTGTGTCAGTGGTGCCAGCAAGTGCAGAAATCACTCTGCGTACAAGGCAGAGTGATTTCTGGCTAGCAAAGGACAAGCACGCTGAGCCAGTGTGTGTGAGAGGTGGTCTGCAGTGAAGGGCAGGAGTAGTTCCATATGGGGCAGCCCTGGTGGGAGGGTGCTGGTTTGTAGGGGTGAGAGCACAGCCAGGCATCTACCTAGAATAGACCAGGAGTGTCCTGGCTGGATTGGTGCTAGTGCCTGCTTAAACAAGCAACTGGAAGAGGGCTGTGGCCTTGGGGCTTCTGCATCCATGGTCTAGTGTTGCAAGCTGAGGAGGCTTGCAGTTCCTTTTAGTGATCCCCTTCTCCAGCAGGCACTGTATGTTATCTGAGGGTATTTCTAAATCCAAATCCAAGCTCTTCAGATGTCATATTGCAGAGGCTCAGGTATTCCCTACATTGACCTCATCATTCCTCTCTATGAGAATGTCTTTAATATATTGACAAACCTGGACACCATGTTCCACCATAACCTTCTCCAGCCTCTGTGCCTGTACTCCAAGCACCATAACGGGTGAGCGTATCCCCACGTGTATGGGAACTGCTGAGTCACAGCCTGAACCACTGATTAAACACCTGGAAAAAAGACCCTGTCAGTCCTGGAAGCACAGGTGAAGACCAGAAGGGGTGGAGCCAGACTCCACCTGTTAAATCTCATTTTAAGGGCTGACTGCCACCAAAGATGGACCTTTTGCTAGAGATCCCTTCTCTGTGAATTCTTGCTGCAAGCCTAGATTTTTGGAAATGAGTGAGCATCCTTCTTTTTGTAACACCTTCTCATTGTGTATATCTTAGACTGGTCCTGCTGTTGTTACATTGACGTAATGATGTGAATGTGCATTGCACTCCCTCCAGATAAATGCAAATTGTCAGATTGTCATCTACCTCCCACAAAAGGACCACAAAAACCTGTCTTAGACACTAATAGCAGCCAGAAATGAGTGAGCCTGTTTCTGTAGGACAGCAACCTGTTCTGAAACATTTGGGACAGATGTTGCTGAAGTGGTCATTGTTGGTATCCAGGCAACCGTAGTGCACTTTAAGTCTCTATTTGCCATTAGACTCCCATACCAGCCATTTAGAAGAGTTATAAGGAGAGTTTGCAGGTTCATTATAAGGTTCAGCTATTAAAGAGGCTTCATTAGCTCCTAAAGGCAGAGGTTTGGGCTTCATGTTTGTTGTCTTGAAAAGATGTAGGGCTGGACCTATAGTCATCTATGACTTGGACTAGCCCAATGGAGAACTGGGGTAGACTGCCAGAACTCCACCATTCCCATCCATCGATGGCTCTCCCTTCAGGGCATCCAACCCCAACAGACTAGTGGGAAAAGGTCCTACCATTATTTCTACCTCAATTGGATTGTCCCCCCCCAGGGACCAGCACTTGAGCTGTGCAGACTGTGAGGGTTGTATTTTACCAGAAGTGTCTGCTACCCAGACCCTTTTTCTGATGGAAAAGGTCCCATATGTCTGCATCTCATCTTCTTGCGTTGCAGAAATCTGAACTCCTTTACCCACAGTGAACGTGATTGAGATCCTTCTGGTTCCAGCATGGTAATTCAGTAGTAGATCCTTCTCCTTCAAGACGGCAAGGCATAAAGATAGGGAACAGCAGATACAGCTGCTTTAAATGAGTTTCAGATCACCCAAGAAAAGTAGAGGACTCAATCCAATAATAAAGAAGAAATCACTTACCCCTTTCACAGGACTAGGCTTGTCAAACACTCCAAAAGAAGTAATCCCTAAGGAAGAGATATTTCCCTTGCAGCTGCCAGCCCTTTAATGAGGTTAGGGAGGGATGGAGCCAGGGACCACCCCTTCCGGTCACATACGTGAATTGCTTCCACCTGTGCTGCTGGAGCTGGCTACATCCCTTCACCAGGTGTTCAATCACTGGTTCAGGCCACGACCTAATAGTTCTCATACACAAAGGTTAGTAAATATCTATGTATCCCATCTCTCCCCTTGGTTAATGGAGATGTGAATGATTTTTTACCACTCCAGTCCCTAGATCTAACTTAACTCACTCTTCTGAAGGGGAAGCAGAGGGAGTTAGCACTGATGAGGTTTTGATTTGTAGGGTCTGCTCCAAGGGAGAAGACAAAGGAAAAGTCTTGTCTAGTGTACCCTTCCAGTTGTAGGAAAGAATTTCTAAATCCTTGTTGGTTTGGCCATTCATAACGGACCTGGAAATCTCCAGCTCAAGGCCTTTTATTCATGGTTCTCCCTGCCCAATAAGCTGCCCTCTGGGTCAGGGACTGTGGGGCTTGATCGTTCCCAATGGTTAGGAAAACACCAGGTCCCCAGTGACTTTCTGCCTCCTCTTCACTTATAAGTATGAAGTTCCCTCTCGTTAGGAAAACTCTCAACACGTATTCTGTCTCCATCTACTTAGCATTCCTGCTATAGTACCACCATTTAACCAACTCTCGGGCTGAGTACGGGGTATCCTTGGTTGTTATGGTCAGCTGACATCCCCTATGCTCCTCATCATAGTTGTATTCCACCTTAGCTAGAAGTCTCACTGGCCTGGAGGGATCATTTCTCTGAGCCTATCTTGAGCCTGTGCTAGTTCAGTGCTGGGAAGGAGCAGGGGCAGAAGGCCTCTCCTCTTCCCTCCCTGAGCACTTCTTCAGTGCTTCTGGTTTGCTGAGACTGCTGCTGCTCCTCACCAGCTGCTCTTGTAATTTTCCTACTATCTCCTGCAAGGAGGAGATAATGATAGTTCCTGAGAATGATTGCTGCCTGTAGTACTTGTGTGTATGACCAGCACTGTCCCAAGTACTGCACAAACCACTGCTTTCCCTTTTCTTCAGCGATATTTCTGTTCTGCCCTTAAGTCTGGTACCCAGTTGCATACTGCCTGCTGGTTCTGCCAGTTATGTCTTGTCCAACTGAGCCCAGTGGCGCAAGACAAGAATCAAGGTCCCTCAACATTTTCAGAATATGCTCTGAGCTATTAGGATTGCCCATCCCTTAATATCAGCTACTCAGGTTTCATTGCCCCACTCAGAAGAGTAATATGTCATAAAAGGAGGAAAAGGGAGGAACTTTTAATCAACTTAATTCCTATGTACTACTCACAAGTTCACCCATCTATTGTGGTTTTGCTGCCCTGCTCAGTGGGAAGTACCACAACACAAAGGAAGGAGGAGGGAGGAACTTTCAATCAATTCAAGCCTGTTCATCCCTGGGTCCCAATCTTGTCTCACTTGTCTATTAGCACCTTCTGAATGGGGATGGGATCCCATCTGTGACACCAATTAAATGTTGCAAGCTGAAGAGACTTGCAGTTCATTATATTGATCACAATCTCTCCAAATTAAGTCTTGGAACAGAGTCACTGTGTTGAGAGAGCAAGGGTGTGCTTTTATTTGTTGAAAGATGGGCAAGCAAGAGAGGAAAAAGATGAGTGAAGAAAAGGAGGGAGAAAGAAGAAAGGAAAGCAAGTCACTATTGTGGATCCCATGATGCCCTGAGGGTCCGTCCTACTCCATCTTCTTTTTCTGGGGTAGCTGAGGATGTGGTGGGGCGAGTGCTGGCTGTGGGCTTGGCAGTGTCTTTATGCCCTCCAATTGGGCCAGAAGCTGTTGCCATGTACTCAGGATCACGTGCTATGCACGTGCTATTCTGCCATGCTTCTCTCTTAGCATGGTGGTCATGGAGGGTTGTCGCTGTGGGGAGGGACCTAAGATGCTTTTAGGCAAGACAACTAACTCCTGGCTTCTCCACTGCCCTTGTGCACACCACTTGCTTTTTCTGCACCTTCCACAAGAGTGTTACAGTACAGTGTTTATTCTGAAGCCTTCACAAGACTGTTTCAGTTTTGTTTCTACTCACCAGTCAGCTCCAAGTCCTTCTCTTAACCAATCAGAAAGAGACTGAGAATTCACTACGCTATGGTTCTGGATGGTGTTATCTCAGAGCCTGAGGCAGAAAGAAACACTTCACTTTATTCCCACATCTGGGGAGACTGAGAAGAGAGCAGTTCCTCCTGGCACTAGGAAATCCCTAGGGTGGAGCGTTTGGTAGGGTGCTTTTAATTTCAGCACACAGGCTATTTACGAAGGTTCTTGAACCTCACAGGGCCTAGTATGGATCCCTATGGGAACCCACTTGGGACTAGCTTCCAGACTGAGCAAAAGCCCTCTGAGTGTAGTTTGTCTGCCAATTCCCTGCTCATCTCACAGGCCACTCATCTAGTCTGTATGTTTGTCTGTGGGAAACAGTGCCAAGTGCTTTGCTGCAATAAAACAACATGGTAAACAACTTCCATTGCTCTCCTCACTGTCCACAAGAAATTTTACTTTGTTGTAGAGGGTAATGTGGTTAGTCCAGCAAGAGTGGCCTTTGGGAAGTCTGTATTGACTTTTCCCAATCAAAACTTCACTTGGTCTTAGTCTCGTTACACCTGTCCTTTCCTTGTCACGTGTAATGTAAGATATGCCTTTGAAATGGTAATAAGTACATAAATTTGACTTTCCACTTTTTTTTCTAATTTATTTATTTATAATGAAATCGTTCATCATCTATCATTATGGGATTAGGGTTAAAATATCATAAAAGTCATAAAATATCATAAAAGTCATAAAAATGTATTTCAAAATTAAACCAAAGAAATCTAAGAGAACTGGAGAAGCGATTGTTTAGTCACACAGATGTGGGGTTTTTTTCTGAACAAAAAATTATAATTCTCATTAAGTAGTTTGCAGCAGATCCCCTACTTGTATTTATTATGCTATTATATTTCCAGTTTTTAGGTAATTGGTAATTGGTTTTTAGGTAATAGGTTTTATGCTTTGCTGTTGTTATTTGTTTGATTGTTTTTATTAGTTTCCCTTAGATTGTACTGTGGGGCATTTGTCCCCCCATAATGATTTGGCCATATAAAAACATATTAAACATATTAAAAACAAACAAATGCAATTGAACTAAATCAAAATAAACAAATGAAAACCCCAAACAACTTTTTTTTCCTATCAAGTTAAACATTTATCATGACATTACCTTTTCAAGTGTTTGTTCAAAGCTGATAAGCTGCATAAATTTTTGAGGAGCCATTTTCTGCACCAGTTAACTGCAATGACATACTGTCAGTAAAACAGTGGTATTCCTCACACAATACATGCTAATCAGAAGAAACAACTGCTTTCCACAGTTAAATATACAAACAGGAATCCATACATCAATATGCACCGAAGCCA